GGGCAGCATAGCCCACAAAGTGACCATTGTTAAACGTGTAAGCACACTTTAAGGAACCATCTGAGGGATTGCCAGTCTTATTTTAATTATAGCTAAAGATTAAATTCTCTTTAAAGTTAAAAGTAATTGAGAAGGAAGCATAAGTAAAAGGTAGGAGAAGGGGAATGAAACTAGGGGGGAAAGTTGCCTTCAGAGAGCTAGAGAGCAGTGAGAAGTGATTATTAACATAGTAATACTATTGTCATAGATTTTCCTAAATTCATTGTGATTTGTCATCCCTTTTAAGCCACAAACAGCATTTCAGAATTAGTATTAATGTGCTACAAATGGCTCATTGAATTATTTTTCCTTCCCTGTCTCAAATCCCAAAATTGCCTTCAAAAATGGTGAAGAATCTCTCTTTGGTTTGCATTGTTTTTACAATGGAGAGAATTTTAAACTCCAGGAAACCAGAATGATTGACTTGTATTCCCACCTATCCCCCAACTCATCAAAATTCAAAGATTCGTTACAAGTGGTGCTGTTTCCAAAGTATGCATACTTATAAAATTGTTTTAAAAATTCCAACATAATTTACTAACTAAAGGATGAGATTCTGAGAAGATCATATGGCTTGTAAATGTTGAAAGATGTAGAAAGGCAAAGCAATTTTAAGTGTAATTAGGTTTAATTTGACGGAAAATGATGAATAGTTCTTTCTTTTTTATGTTTCTGAGGCTGCATAAATGCTTTTTATTACCACTTTGTTAGAAAAAAAATAGTTTAGCTTGATTTAAAATTATTACAGGTCCAATCAAGTAAACCAAAGTAACATGACAAAGTAAAATGTCTCATTTTCTCTCAGAGGAAAAATTATTTGTACATATCTAATCTAGGAATTTGAGGCTACATCTTGAAACAGCTATGGTTTTAGAGGAAAACTATAAACAGAGAGGACAGCAACATAGAGTTTTTATTTTTTTCTACTTAAAAAGTTACTTTTCAAGATTCTTTCATAAATACTCTACCATCTCTTCTACTCTCAATCAAAATTGAATCCACTTTTCTCTCTAGCTAATGACTTTATGAGTGGCAGGCAGGCTATTTTTTGACACAGGGAATAATTAAGAAAAGCTGAATTGACTAATTGAGAGCTGTATTCTTGGTAGAGTACTAGTTAATAACGACTTAGAAGTTTTGTCCTGGCTCTAGATTTAGAAAGAAATTAAAGTTATTACATTTCTCCTTTTTAATTTTGATTGACAGACACAATTGGGAAATCTAGTCGCAGTCAAGTAGAACAAGATTCTGACTAAATCAGAAAGACTTTGCTTGGAATTTCAATGCAAATCCATGACAACCCAATGACTTAATCTATCAGTGAATTTTCCAGAGACTGGTCATCATTACTGACCATAATCTCGCAACAGCAGTAGCTCAAGGCTGTTAGAACGAACATTTCCACAAAAAACTGAGAGTATGTGCTCGCTGAACACCACTTATTTCCCTGGTTTGCATCTGTCAAGGTTAGGCTGGGGTAAATGAAAACATTTTGAATTGCCAAATAATAATGGTATACATTATATATTTATGGGGTACAATATAATGTTTTGATATATGTTTATATTGTGGAATGATGAAATCGAGCTATTTAACACATTCTGGCCCAAGTAAAAAGTACTTATTTGGTCTTCTTTTCCTTCTTAAAGTTATCAAAACAAAATCCTCAACTGATAGTATTATATGTACTTTCTATAGGTTCTTTGGTATAGGATTTGCTTAGCACAAATTAGAAATGCTTTGATATTTTCAGTTCCAATAAGCAGTGTTAAAGGGACTGATTCATTACTTTTTAAAGATTATTCTTCATTTTTCCTCAAACTTCAAGTGGATTATTCATCTGTTTCCAGATGTGTAAAAATGGATGATCTTATATTTATTCCATTAGATTTTTCATTTTATTAATTGGGACCATAACAAATAAAAAATTACTTTATTTATTCAATCTTCCAGATAATGCATTTTGGACAGTAAAATGAATGTTTGTTTGATATTCGGTTTGCACATAGGATTTCATGGCTGCCATGCCTGATTAGAAAAAGGCTTTTCTTTCCTTTTGCCTTAAAGCTACAGCAAAATGCTATAATCAATGTGTAATACATCAGGGTTTCAATGAACCCTTTTCGAGAGAGGAGGATAAGAATTAAATGTCTGTTAGGGTATAGTACCTTACCAACCAATAAATAATAAAAGTGCTTTTTGAGATATGAGCTGTGATAGTTCATACAAAAATATTTCAACAATATTAGATGTTGTAAGAAATTAAGATGTATCCTAAGAATCCATCAACTTCTATCTCCAAGCCAGGACTCCTAGAAAAACAAAAAGAACTTTGATCACTTTCAGGATCTCTTAAATAGTCTTGAATAGTTTTGAATTAACTTGTTCTTGGGAAACTCTGCTTAATTTATTTTGAACTATTTATTAATTTTCTCGGGACATTTTTATTTTTTCTTTCCACATAACCCAGTCCTACTCAACTTCCTTAATTTCTGAAAAAACCAAATATACTGCCCTTATGTAGTTGCATAACAATTCCCATAACTAAAATATTTTAGGAAGGAAGAACTTAATTATGAGATGAATTTTCTATCCATTTATTCTTTTGACTCTTTCTAACAAGAAGACATTACAGAAAATGAGAGCAGAATAAAGATCTATTGTGTTGGAGACTGGGCAAGTAGGAAAAGTAGGGCAATTCCCTGGGTTGCATTTGTGAACCATTTTCTTCTCACTGATATGTTTGACATCTACACAAAATACAAGACAATGGAATTGGCCAAGATTAAATATAGACTTTGCATTATCCATGTTATGTCTCAATTTTCTTTCAAGAATACTTTTTTCCTCAGTAGAATTATTTGACCGCAAACCAATTAGTGAATCCATAAATATCTTTCTCTCCTACGTGAAAGTTTAAAACACTACAACCAAAATCATCATAGCCTCCACTTTGATCAGGCATTAGTAGGCAGCTTGTTTATGCTCTACAGTTTGTAAGAAAAGACTTTAGTACTTATTTTTGTGCTGCAGCGTTTGTATATGCTGTTTCCCCTAAAATCTTTCTTTTATTCTCAATCACCTTGTTACTACAGTTTAAATCTCTTGTAATGACTTGTGGAAAAATGTTTCTGGTTTATTCTATCACTCTACCCAATACGTAGTAGAATACCTCAAGAAATACTTATTCAAAAAATAATTCAATAAAGCTGCTCTTCATCAAGAATTCAGCCTAATATTAAATAACAGTAAGCATGCTTTTCTGTTGCCTTGAAGCTGCTGATGGCAGATTTGGGACTGCAAAGAGAAGCTGTGCAAGAAAGGCCAGATTATAACCTGGCATGTAATAACTTTTTCTTTCTTCTCCGAAACACTCAAGTGAATTAACACAGTTGTTGAGAGAGAAGAGGGAAGAAGTAGCAGAGGGGTGAACTGCTCTCTGTCTGCTCATATTTTTAAGAATAGGTTAGACATCCATATCTGGTGTTTTAAGTAATTACCTGCCAGGTATATATCAGCTGTGTTATTTCAGGGTTTTCTAATGTCATTAGAGTCTTTCATCAATGATGATATCACAAAATGTGCAACCTGAGACTGAGTTTGTGGGTGTAAAAGGGGTAAAATAGACTTCAGTAAGTAACATTTGCAGCTAGGAGATTTAAAAGGAAAAAGTGTCTGTATGTGTGATGGAGTGAGGGGGAGGGAAAAAAGCAATGACTTCTGAGGCTTGATGTCAGTACCTCACATTTGGGATAGAGCTGGGAATCTGCCTAAATCTGCTGTCTTTCTTCTGTGACCTGCTCTTTTGGTTCCCATGTTGATAATCAACACTTAGCCTGTATTTTATCTATGTGTTCCCAAAGCATGGCAAGGGTTTTCTTAATAGAGTTTTGCTAGCAATTTGCATTTCATGCCCCAGGACCCATCTCATGACAAGACACTGACTTTATAAGGAGATGTCATTTGGTTATCCACCACCCGTAGTCTTTCTTGAATAGGTTCTGCAGAATATCTTTACTGATGGCCATTCATTTGTTAGAAATGTGGCGAAAAAAGACCTGTTCTCTTGGTATTCTTACTTTTTATAGTTACTTTTGGTTACAAAGTGTTAACAGCTATACCTCCAAAACCTTTTTTGTTGCTTTTCAAAAAAAAATTGTAATTCTAAATTAACATCAGATCACATTAATGATTTTCCATAGTTATATTTCTTGACTGGTTGACTTAACTTTGGATTAACTTGAAGTTCTTTCCTTGAGAGTGTGAGGTTTCCATATCCAAAAGCTCATCTTCCTAACATACAAGAATACATTCGTCTGTTCAAATCAGACGGCATTTTAGTTACATTCTAGTAACTAGGCGAGTGAAAGGGATGCATCCGCTCTAGGGGTTTAGAGACGTCTCAACAGTACCTGTTCCTAATTAACTTTTATTAGGCATTCTGCTTCATTAGAGATTTCCAAATTAAAGAGTTCTAGACACAAGCAAAGAAATGTTCTTTAGTCTTCACTTTGCTCACTAGATGGGATTGGGTAAAATAATTATTCATGGCCTAAGTTCCTTATCTATTAACAGCAACTGTCATCCCAAGTGATAACCAAAATCCTTCCTGCTCTAGAAGTCTGTAACATATTTATGTGGTTACAAGTGCCCCCTAGAGAGAGCCTTTTTTCTCCTGGCAAAGAAAAGATTTTCCTTCTCCCTCGCTTGTAGCTTTAATTTAGCTTTCTTTTCCAGTCACCAACTGGTTTACTAACTTGTTTCTTGGATCAGAATCTAAAAATCATTAGGAATTTAAAAGATTCTTGTGCACCTAGAAAAGAGACTATTAGTTACCTTGCAGGCTGCTGAAGATATGGGTGTTCTGTGGGTGTGGCATATCTACTCCACTCATGTTATTAACACAAGCAGTTCCCCTGGAGAATTTTCAGTGTTTTTTTGATCTAAGCAGCTTTCTTGCATTTTTTTAAGGTGAGAAGATATATATATTTAGAATTAGCCAGCTGGACTCGGTTTAGATGATCCCAATTTTGTTGGCAATGTCCAAAGCATCATAATCAAGAGCCAGTCGAACATATGCTTTCTTCTCTCCATCAGGCATGATCAGGGTGTTGACCTTGGCCATATCAATGTCATAGAACTTCTTCACAGCCTGTTTGATCTGGTGCTTATTGGCTTTGACATCCACAATGGACACAAGTGTGTCGTTGTTGTTGTCTTCTATCTTCTTCATGGCAGACTCAGTGGTCAAGGGGAACTTGATGATGGCATAGTGGTCAAGCCTGGGGAAATGACAAAATGGGGTCATCTGACCTGGGCCCTAGCAGAAGGATGGGTCATCTTGGGGAGCTCAAGCCCAGGAAAGCCTAGGTGCATCAAATAATGAGGTAGAAATCATTTTGGTCAGACTTTGGTCACTTAACAGTGTCATCACCTGCGCTTTCTTGCATTAACATCTCTTTAGACTTCCTCAGAAAACCAGATTGCTTACTTGTCAGCAGTCTCTGTACTGGAGGCTCTACTTAGACCTATTTCTAACCAATCTATTTAACCTAGGAACAAAGGCTCCCTGTGGACTGCATCCCTGCCCTGATCCAGCACCCTGCCTCACTTAACTTCCTCTACATCTTCAAGCATTGCATGTCAGGTACCTTCAAGTCCAAGCCTAAGCCAGATACATGGGGATTTGCTATCTCCAATTTCTCCAAACAGAATTCTCTGCTGCCTTCACCTGACACTTGATCACTGAATTAACATTTTGAGATCTGGTCTTACACTCTTGGACAATTGCCAAGACACTGATTGCTAGGATCTCCCCTACCTACCTCTCTTGTACTTTAACTTTCCCCTTTTCTAAGATATCTACTCCCAAACCAAGTTTAATGTTATACACACAACAAATTTCATTGACTAGGTAGAAATATACTCCTTTTTATCCCATCAAGTGTTGCTGTGGGAATCAAAGGAAGATGTCTCTTATGACTTAACTGCATAGACTTTAGCAGGATAGGGAGAAGTAGATGGCGATATAAAAAAAAAGTCCCTAAAGCCAGATGTTTAGGACTTAGAGTGCTTTCCAAACTTCCCTATTGTCTATACTTACTCACAGGATCTATATGCACCAGATTTTTTCATCAGATTTTTCTTTCTAGGAAGCTACTCTGAGAAAGTCAGGGTCTCCAAAGAATAATAGAGGGAAACATAACTGAGAGTTGAAGCAATACATGACCGACCAAGAAGTCTCATCTCCCTCCTCTCTCAATTCACAGTGAAATAAGAAATTTTTAAAAAGATAGGGATTTTGAGATGTAAGTATTTCATAAAGAAACTTATGAAATAGCATAACTCTACACACTTGAGAGTCTCTATGTGTACTTTAATTTACAGTAGGGTTCCCTGGATTTTTAAATTGCCTTAATGTCTATTTTGATATTATGATGTTGCTATTGCCTTTGGAACTATACAATTAGCACATTTTGCAAGCACAAGATAAGCTTTAGGTCAAATGTATTTCAATTCCTGTGTAAACAGTATGTGGTACCTGGAAGTTGTTTTAGAACTGAAAGAGGAAGAGGTAATCCTGCATCACAATGTGTATCAAAACTATTGACACACATACATACACTCTTACCCAAAACCACAGCAAAAATAACTTTTTGTTAATACCTGTTCAATAAATTTGTTGGGACCATCTAGTATATTTGTTTCTTTAACCACTATTGACTTGTCCTAACAGTAGAATAACCAACACCCACAGGGCCTTTGTTAAGAGATGTTTGTCCTTTTTATTTTTCACTGCAAAAACCCAGGGACATATGACTGTTAATCAGTAATTGCAAATTTCTATTCCTGACAAGGCGGGGTTTCCTCTCCCCGGCCTTTGACAGCCCATTTACCCTCTTCAGCCGTTTACCCATCAGCAAAATGTAAATAGCTGAATTAATGTGAATAAAGTGCTTTGAAGATGAAAACTGCTCAGTACTCTAAGTGGCACCAGAATATTTCTTCCTATATTGAAAAAACATTTATTGAACTTAGTGTCAATTCTGTGCAGAGCACTTTAGAGATCACAAAGATGTACAAGACAAGGTCCTTGTCCTCCAAAGAGTCATTCCCATCTTAATGACAGCTAAACATCTGAAATTGGGAGTCTGTAACTAGTTCAACTCTGGCCGTAGTTAGGGATTACCACTAAGACTGAGCTTGGTTATATTTGAAGATATAAGTTGAAAAAAGAACTAATCCATTATTCACGATAATAAAGTTAAACAGTAATGATTTGTCAGTGATATTTGAACAGATGGATAGTCCTTGAAAGGCTGGCCTCTCAGGGTGCTCCAGGGCAAAGGTGTTAATGATTAAGTAGAAAAGGGCAGCATAAATACCATGCTCTTGAAGATTAATAATGAACATGTTTACAGCTTTTCAACCTAAGCTGAGGAGCACATTTTTGGAGATACTGTCTAAGTTTATCCCATAGAACATCTGCTTCCATATAATCTGAATCCTACAAAATTAAAATGGGCTTCAGACATGCTTAATTGGTGTCTAAGCATGGTTTCAAGGAGTGTTTCTTAACATGGTACCAATAAAGATGTATTTAAGTTAAACAAATTGGACCGTTTTCATGCAGAAATATTTCTGATCACTTTACATTGAATATTAGTAGTCATTATATCTGGAAGAGAATTGGCCAAAATTCCAAGTCTCTGATTCCTCAACCAATTGCCTTAGGCTGCAGTCTCTCTCTTCAAGTCTTCATATGGAGGATACATAAAGCAGGATTTTCAAGACTGTGGCACATTAAAAATGAACGTAAAACCTTTTGGGAGTTGATAATGCTGGTTAGCATATAAATGGTTAATAACAAAAACGATAAAGAAAGCTGAATTTTATTCAACCTAGAGCTTCCCAAAGTTGTCTCATTCCAGAGTACTTTGTTTTTTTTTTTTTTTAATTATTATTTGGGGTTTAGTTTGTTTGCATTTTTTCTTTTCCACTGAGGTGTAGAGTATAGGGCATATTATATAACAGCATTCCTTGGAACATAGTTTGGGGCCTACTTAAGTAGAGGATACTCCTTTAATTTCTGGGTAGGATTTTAACCCAAATCTTTTGCTGTTCTCATGCTTGAGGAGGTGGATTTGTTCTCTGAACTCCAAGAAGTTATGGAAATGGGTTCTATTTTTTTATGGGCTGCATCTTGGTTCCTTCTGAGAAAAGGAAGTCTAAGGAAGAACATTCTCCTAAAAGCTCCACCCCCTACTGTTTGGGACCATCTTCAGAACTTTTTGTATGTGTGTGTGGTGGAGCAATAGAATTAAGGGAAGTTTTGAGCTCTCTGCACAGATTGGAGGGAGTATGCATAAAGAATATCCTTCAGCCAGGCGCGGTGGCTCACGCCTGTAATCCTAGCACTCTGGGAGGCGGAGGCGGGCGGATTGCTCAAGGTCAGGAGTTCGAAACCAGCCTGAGCAAGACCGAGACCCCGTCTCTACTATAAATAGAAAGAAATTAATTGGCCAACTAATATACATAGAAAAAATTAGCTGGGCATGGCGGTGCATGCCTGTAGTCCAAGCTACTCGGGAGGCTGAAGCAGGAGGATCGCTTGAGCCCAGGAGTTTGAGGTTGCTGTGAGCTAGGCTGACGCCATGGCACTCACTCTAGCCTGGGCAACAAAGCAAGACTCTGTCTTGAAAAAAAGAAGAAAATAAAAGAAAAGAAAAAAGAATATCGTTCATATGGAAAAATACAAATTTCTACTCCTGGGCATGTCAAAGCATGACTGGGAGGACAGTAGTGGAGAGAAGGGACAAATTGTACGTGGCCTCAGAAAACTTAATTACCATTTCTAAACCTAAGTTTTCTTACCTGTAAAATGGGAATAACATGCTTATGGGAATAACATGCTTATGGGAATAACGTGTGTATTGAGTTGTTATGAAAGAGAGGATGGGATGACATGGGTGCTCATCATAGTACCTGGCATATATTGTTTGGAGTATTAACTATATATGAAAAATATAAATTATATTTTGGTTCACTTAACTTTCAATAATAATTTATTTAATTGTGTTTTGGAGTCAAGTAAAAACTCTAAAACTTAACATGGAGACTTTCTACCAAGCATTAAAATAAGCATTTTTATTGTTGTTTGTTTCAGCCATTTGTGGAGTAGCCAAATGCCCATTAATATCTGGGCAGATCATGATCCTAACCTGACCTCAAAACAAGTCCTCTTTTCTTTTTGCATAGCAAGTCTGTGAAGAGTATCTTTTCTTTAAAGCAACCAAATTGGTTCATCAACTTGGTTTCCTTATTTCATTTCATGGCTCTCTACTTCTGAATTAATAATTTTGTTTTTATATTAGGACACATGAAGCATGGTTTATGAAATTAGCATATTGTTCAAGCAAAATAAAATTTTCTTTTAACTTGTTAGTTCTCCTCCCTTTTTGGATATTTGATAATTTTCTTTTATACAATGTTTCTATATAAATTTGAACTTAATTTTCTACAATTTGTTTTCCATGTGGGAGAAAAACTATACTTTTAATCATATTCCAGTGGAAATCTGCCAAGGCAGTAGACATCTCTGCATTTTGCTTCATAAATTATGTCTAATTTTAGTGACTATGTAGAGTAGTCAGAACTGTTTCTAATAATTTAGCTTAAGCAAAGGTCAGAGGTAATAGGAACTTTGAAAGAAGAAAGCTGACTTTGCTTCCCTCTAATTTTGTATCAGTTGGACTTCAAAGAAAAATGCTTTCTTTAAATAAATATCATAAAACTGAGGTATTCAGATAGGATAATTTCCCATGTTGTTTGGCTTTTTGTGGCACCAGCTAAGAGATCAGCAAAAATTAAAAGTCACAGGATTTCTTTTGAGTATTAATTTGCTTCTGTTTGGTTTGCTGTTCATAACTGTATTCATCTTTTTAATAATCTGCTTATTAAGAATTTTTGGATTTAAATAATTCCTATTTTCCTGGGATTCTCCTTTTGAGCATCAGATTTGTATTCAGCAATCAGAATAAGATTAATTTTTCTTAAGAGCCAAATCTTCTTGGCATTCCATTGGTGTAAATATTTGTGTAAATATTTACAGTTTAAACTCTGCCCTTCATTGCTTTCTGATCTTATTGTATTAGTTAGGGTACTTAAAAATGCAAAAGAAGGAAGTTTAACTCAATCTGGCCAGAGCATCAGAGCATAAGTATTATGGACTCAAGAAAAGCTGCATCAAGGGGATGACAGATGTTATCATGACTTAAGGTTTTTCTCCTTCCTTTTTCGCATTTTTCCATGCTCTGCCCTGGTACCACCAAACAAAGATGTATCTTCGTAGATACGTCTTTTCAATTATTGCTTGTACTGTGTGCTGGGCAGCATTCAGCAAGACAAATATCCTAGCACTGAAGGTATAGCACAGAGATATCTTTGCTCAACCTGATAGCTGTCATGTCCTAAATTTTTTTCTCTTACACAAGTAACCAATTTTTCAGCCATTTTGCATATGGAATAGTGATGAAGGAAGAAATCTATGAG